GTTCTCTGGACCAGCAGAGGCAAACCTGGTTAGAAGGAGAGATGAGTCCTTGTGAAATAGCTCAGCTGTGACCTTCAGCCCCCACACTGAGCTTTCCCAGCGAGCTGCACTCATGGCTTTTTTTTCCAGGACTACCAGGCAAATTGCACTCCCAAACAATATGTCCTCAAATCAGCATTTTTAATGTTACTTTGCAGTGTCTATACATTGAAAAAACACCTTAAAGATCCCAATGAAAGTTTAAAAATTAGGCCTGAACAGCTCTGTTTGGTCTGGTACTGCCCTGCAGTCAGTCAGTTGCTCTGCTCTGGCTGAAATTTTTAAGAGTAAAAATAGATTATTGTAGCAGCTCCACTGTACTTTGCCAGCCATAAGCTCTGCCTTGTCTGGTTTGGTTCTGTGTTTGTTGGGGACTTAACACAAAGAATTATGAATGTATTTATTTTTTAAAATCAAGGCAGCCTTTATTTTGGCTGAAATCCCAACAAATTGCCCTGGTGCACCCAGCCCTTGCTCAGCACGAGTCCTGCCCTGGTCCTGCCTCGGGCATGGCTGGAAACAGTTAAAGCTTCAGGGCAAATGAAGCCAGAGTCTGCTCATTATAGCTGTGAGAAAGCATTAGGGAAGAACAGCAACTTAATCCTCTGCGGTATGCAGCTCATGCAACCAAAGTCAATTAACTTAGGCACCTTCCTGCCTTTTTCACTCATGAATAAAGCAAGCACGATTTACATACTTTTCAATAAAAGCTCTGGTGGAAAGCTGGGCTGCACACCCTGGATGAGCTGGAATTTGTGAACTCCCACCTCATTTGGGGTTCTTTGGTGTAACAGGTTCTCAATAGCCATGGAGGCATCACAGCAGGCAGGATATCAGAGATGGGGAAAATGCTAGCAAGGTGGACACTGCTCAGAACAGGAATTTGGAGTAATGCTGTTTTGCTGTAAAACACTACTGAATTTCAGGAACAGCATCCTGACCCATTCAGGGGAGTTTAGTGCCGTTCACTATTGGCCATTACACATCATTGGGCCTCACACTTGAGTCTGATTCCTGAGTTCCCTTTTTTACCTCCTCCATTCCAACAAAGAGTGAACCTTTGCCATGTGGCAGAAGAGCACACCAAGCCTATTGCTGCCCTGAGCCAGCACAGAGCCTCCCCCACGTACCAGAGCCAGAGCCAGAGGTGGTCATGTCGTAGATGAGATCCTTCAGCGTCTTCCCCGAGCTCCCCAGGTTGCCCTCGGAGAGAGGCTCCTCCACGTTGGGGGCCTTGGCCCGGCGGTGGGCACAGAGCCACCGGCCCCGGGGTCTGCAGGCTGCCACCAGTGCCACCAGTGCCAGGACACAGACTGGCACTGCCACCGCCACCACCGCGGACCTCGTCCCGGCTCTGCCCGGAGACTCCGACGCTGCCAGGAGACACAAGGGGCAGCAGGTCGGGGGGAAGAGGTGAGTGAAGGGCTGCGAAGCAAAGACAGGCTAAGGTCTAATGATTTCCCAGTCGCCCTGGCCCCTGACACATCACATTTGTTTGTGATGGAGCCTTTCCCCCACACTTTTTGTGCAGGACTCCTGGTCTGAGATCAGCACTCTGATCACCACACCATGCCACTGCAGCAGATCATCCCCCAAACAAACCAAAACAGAAACACAACCCGAAACAAACCCTAAACATTCAGAGCCATGAGTACCCAACGGAATCTCAAGGTACAGAAGACCTGAGAATCATGACCCCACACAAGGTTACCCCTTGCTACTCTAGGAGACACAAACCTCTCTCTCCCTGCAAAGGCTGAGCCATGGGCACACCATCACCCAGAGTTTGAGTGGCCAGAGTGACGTGGAGGTCTCCAAAGCAGCAGCAAACGGCCTCAGCATCCACTGATACCTTTCCCCAGCTGATATTCCATGTGTCTGTTCACCAGCACAGCCCCAACCCTTCTGAATTCAAAGCTGTTACAGTTTGTTCACAGGTTTTGCCTTTACCCAGCATCAAGGGGTGGCCCAAGGGGTTTGTAAGAGGATTTATGACCAGAATTCCTCCTTGCAACTGCTGCCTGTTAACTGGCACACTGTGATTTCCTAAGCATCTTTCCACTGTTTCCACAGGGCAGAGGTGTCCCTGAAGCAGGGATGAAGTGCAGTATGGAGAGATCCTCTGCCCCAGGAGCTCCAAATGGGCCACATAGATCTCAGATCTCAAATATGGCCCAAAATTCCTGTGAGACACAAGCCCACAGCTGCAAGAGCCTTCTAGACCTGAGCAGCAACAGCACAAACCAGCCTGTTCCATGCTGAGAGCACAGAGGTGAGTCCTACAGAGAAAACAAGGGTGGGGGTGTACGAGGGATGGTTTATCACAGGGAGGTCCCTTGAGGCAGCAGCACTCAGGGTGTTTTCTGCACCCTGCTAGGACATCCACTGACAGGGGAAGCTTGTCTGAGTCACCTGCTGGGGCAGAAAGTATCCCAGTTAAACCAGTACAAACCTGGAAAGAAATTCAGGGTAGCGCAGAAAAAGAAAACTTACTGCAAACTCAACCTGCACTTTGAAACCTCTACCTGATACTGCAGAGTACTGCAACGAAACCCCTGTCCTCAGGGAGGAGGAGATGGACAGCAGAGATCCAGGCTGAAGCTGTCCTTAAAGATGTGTATTTGCAGACATCGTAAAACAAACAAACAAACAAAACCCCCCAAAAGGCTAACTCAAACGAAAAGGCAGCTGCATTTCTGACTGATGTGAGTTCCCCTAAATGTTTAGAGCAAAGGACTCAGGGCAAGAATTCAGTCATTTTTTTGGGTACTGAAATATGAAACTAGAGGTTTTGCAATGCCAGTTCCAGTGGTGGAACAACAGAGGTGCCTTGGAGCTCTTCTGGAAATAGCAGCTTTCTCCCAAGACAGCATCCCAGTCCAGAAAAAAAAAAAAAGTGTGGTGCTTTATTTCTAGAGTATGTTTAGAGCAAAGGACTCAGGGCAAGAATTCAGTCATTTTTTTGGGTACTGAAATATGAAACTAGAGGTTTTGCAATGCCAGTTCCAGTGGTGGAACAACAGAGGTGCCTTGGAGCTCTTCTGGAAATAGCAGCTTTCTCCCAAGACAGCATCCCAGTCCAGAAAAAAAAAAAAAGTGTGGTGCTTTATTTCTAGAGTATGACCACAATCTCTGGAAATAGCAGCTTTCTCCCAAGGCAGTATCCCAGTCCAGAAAAAATAAAGTGTGGTGCTTTATTTCTAGAGTATGACCACAATCAGTGTGTCTTTTCTGCGGTCAGATGGAGAAAACCAACCACTTAAATGATCCTTATTCCTGCCCCCCAGCACAGGTGAGGTTGGGTACGAGGGTTCACCAAGAGGTGACAGTGCCCAAGGCTCTCACAGCAGCTCCCCCATGCTCTGCTCTCCTGTGTTTATGTGCCACAGCTTCCACCAACAGCCTTTCAAATTCTGTTAAGAACTGTATGACAGCAGCTCAAATGCATAATTGTAAATTAGGTACTGATTTGGACGTTCTTACTTGCAACATCTCTCACTGGTGTAAGCATATAGAAAGGTATCACCTGATAAAGTAGTATATTTACAGCTTTTCCAAAAAGCCTGGATTAAACACAAAGACACAGCACGTGGTGACAGAACAGCCAAGGACAACGAGGAGAGTGGCCCCTCACACACCCCATCGTGGGTCAGACCTCATTTCCAGCCCAGACCCTCATCTGCCCAAAGACACTGAGGTACATGTCCCATGTTCACAGTCAACCAATCATCTCCTTCCCAACATCCCAGTCTGGATTCTCACCCTCCAGCAGGAGTTTTCCATGGTGTGCAGAGATGTTGGAGGCTCTCAGACCTCAGCCAGGGCAGGACCTCTGTTATTCCCTCACAAGGGAGCAGTTAGCAGCTCTCAGCTCCCCACAGTCCTAGTTCCCAGCTGCCATGCACTGCTGGTCCATGCCCCAGAGAGTCCCCAGCACATCAGACATCACCTTCCCAACATCCACACTAATGCCAGTTCGAATCACAAACTCACTTAAGATATTCCAGCCCATCAAACCTATTCCCTTCAGACAACTCTTTTCATCTCCATGGTTAGTGCTGGTGGGATATCAAAGACAGGGCTTGGGATATGTTTAGGAAAGCAAGAAATTCCCTCTCCCCCAAACAGAGTGGAATATGTTTAGGAACGCAAGAAATTCCCTCTCCCCCAAACAGAGCCACAGCTTCTATTTTCCTGTCTGAAACAAGCTGGGACAAAACCAGCTGCTGTTGTTCATAGAGCCTCTAAATCCCACGCGCGGCGGCCACGTCCCCTGGATGGGCTCAGCACCCTGCACTGCCCACGAGCGCTCCCGGAGCACGCCGTGCCCTCCCGGCACTCACCCAGGGGCAGGCGCAGGGTGATGTTGTTGCAGAAGTCTGTGTAGCAGCACTCGGTCTTGGTGACGTTCTTGGAGCTGTGGCAGAAGACCTGAGCGTTGAGCTCGGGGAGGGAGACGCAGGACTTGACGACCTCCTCGCGCCCGTTGGTCAGCATGACGGAGGCCCAGCAGGCACCCTCGGTGTGGCAGGTGAAGTTGGTGTGCTCACACAGCTGGCACACGCACCGCAGGCCTGGAACACGCGCAGGGTCAGGAGCAGAGCCCGGGCTGGCAGAACCCCGCGGAGCAGACTGTCCTGCCCACGGCTTGACCACAAACACCCGTGGGAGCTCCAGCACTGGGCCGTGCTGGTGGTGAGCAGGCTTTGGTCTGCAGGAGGAAACCAGTCCCGAGACCCCCACCAGCACAGGTCCCCAGCACTCACACAGGACAGGTTCTTACGCCCCAAAAAGCAGCTCCTGTGAGAGCTGCCCTGCATGGAGGAGGGGAGACGGAGTTTGGATTTGTGTTCTCAGCTCCCACCACTCCAGACGGCACCTCGGGCAACGCTCAGGACAAAGATGTGGGCAGAGGCTCCACTGGAGCTGGGCATTTAGACACAACCACTTTTGCTCTTTACTGAATTTTAGACACTCCCAAGAGCTGCTGGTGAGGAAGCTGTTGCTGCCTCCCAACACCCCTCACCTGTCCCAGCCACCTGCCCACAGCAGCAACACCTCCACCCTGCCAGAGTGAGAGCACCGAGCTGAGGGGCAGCAGGGAGGATGTTTCTTGTCCCTAAGGATAACAGATTTGGAAGGCAAAACATGGGTTAGTGGTGGCCTTGGCAGTGCTGGGGGAATGGTTGGGCTTGATGATCCTAGAGGACTTTTCCCAGCTAAGCCCTCCCACGGCTGTGCAGTCTCAGAGTCCCTGGAGGAGCACAGGAGTCCTCACAGATGTCAGTGCGAATCTGATTTCTCTTTCTGTGACACTATTTGTTTTCCCTGCAACAATCCCCATCCTGTGCCACCCTTCTCAAACAACAGCTTGTGGTGTTTATCTGCAGCTCAGGCCTGCAACAAACTTCCTTGGCACCATATGCTCGTGTTTATCCTGGGGAGGGTGTGCCAGGAGCCACAGCACTGCCTGTCTTGGCTTTCCTTGGCTCGGGAGCACCATCCGTCACCCGCAGCACAACAGGTGAACCTCTGCCTTAAAGACATTACCTGGCTCCTACAAGAGCTGCCAGGAGCAAGAGTCATCAGATCCAAACAAATTAGAGGAGGAAAACAGACACATCATCACCACAAGTGCAAAATAAAGGCATTATTGAGGAAATGAGTCTAAGACTGTCGCAAGTGTCTTCAGGGCTTCAGATACATCATTATGCTGGGGTTTTTTTTCTCTCCTTCTCACAGCCTAAAATTAAATGGGAAATCGTCTTTGTGACGTCATCTACAGTGGATAACTGACAGATTGATCCTTGTTCTGTATTCTGCAGATTGCTTGGGAGCAGAGCTGATCAGAACTGTCCCTGCACATCCTGAGCAGCTCCTCTGAGCCCCACGAACATGGGGAGAGACAAGGATGGCTGAGGGGCTCTGAGCCCTCACCCTGGCCAAACTATGGCCAGAATGACAGGGGTTCTGCACTGCCAAACACTGCCCTCACATAGGGGGGAAAAAACAAAAAGAAAGGAAAACTGGAGCTAAATCTGTGCAGCAACAAGATCAGAGTTGGAGTTTGGGAATGACAAGACATTTCTTCACAGAAGGTTTACACGGATCACTTTGAAATATAATCCTATAAAAGCAGAAGCCCCAAGTTCCCCAGATACCTGTCTGTGCTGCTGGCTGACTGCTCACACAGAAAAATGGTCAGGCTGAGTACAAATCCCTGACCCTGTTTCCAGGAGCAATTGTGCCCACACAGAACCTTGTGGTACTAGAGCAGAAAGATGATCATAGAATATAACCACAAAAGTACAAGTTTCCTGCACCTAAGCTGCTTCAGGTGCCTCACTGCAGTGGAATCAGGAATGGAGCCTGGACCCTTGTGACCATTCCCTTGGAAAGATCCACACTTTTCCCACTGAACAGGGTATAAACCCCAGCAGGTCTCACCCAGTGCCCCATCCCCATGCTGTGCCTCCTCACAGACACCTGTGCAACTACTCCAGCTCTGCCAAGCCTGAATCCCATCCCCACTGCCATCCTCAGGGACTCAGGGCTCTCCAGAATCTGTTCCTTATCCCCCTGCTGCTCCATCCAGAAAGCCTCAGTGCTGCTCCTGGTTATTCAGGACAACTTCCTCCATTGGAAAAAAGGATGTCCATGTCAATTCTATGACCTGGCAATCTACAACCACTGGCAAGGCATTCCAAGCTTTCACATTACATTCTGCACCATTTCTGCTCCAATCTGCCTGCACTGCTGTCCCAGAGGAGCCAGCGAGATGTTCCCCTCAGCTTACAGACCAGAGGGATAACAGCACAATGATGGAAGATCTTCCCCCTGCTATTCAAGCCAACACCTCGTTTAAACCGTGCCCTTCCCACCCGAGGAGCCATTCCATGTCATGAAAGAAGATGAAGAATTTGCAAATATTGACTGAACTTCTGCAGTCCCTACATGGAGCAAGGAATGTCTGTTCCCTCCCCAGCTCCATCCCCAAGGACAGCCCTGGCAATGCCATCAGTGATGCACTGTCACAGGGGGAAGTCAGAGCTCTTCTCAGCCTGGAAACCAGGAAACAGAATTAGGAGACTGCAAAGGAGTTCATGGAAAAGGATCAAAGAGGTAGGAGGAAAATGTGCTCCCAAAGTTTCAAAATAAGGCACTCTCTAATACAGTAACAAACGTGACTCCTTTATTTCCTCGAGCACAACAACTCCCTCAAAACATTCCATTCTCTGGTTGAGAAACTAGGAAAAAGTGAACAACTGAAACAGGCCACAGCCACAGAGCACTATGCCAGACATCCAAACCCAGCAACAACGGCCCCAGTTCTCTGAGCATGGAACTCTCCAGCAGTCATTAACGGCTTGGTCCTGACCCTCCAGAGCTCCACACCCCCAGAAGGACCACGGGCAGGTTATCCCACTGGGACTGGCTGCAGAGCCCAGGCAGGGCCAGGGCAGAGAGGAGAGGACACACCAGGGGCTCCCTCAGCAGGGACAGCAGCTAGGGACACACTGCATGGCAGAGCTGTGAGGGCAGAGACTCTGCAATACAGCACAGGCACAGAGCTGATGGAGAGCCTGCTGGTCCTGGGCTGAGGGGCTGAGGAAGGGTCCAGCACGGGGCTGAGAGGGCAAACTCCATGTGGAGGCAGCTGAGATAACACGGGGCTGACAGCACTTACTGACTCCAGCTCTGGAATGGCTTGCATAAGAGTCCCCAGCACTGAAAGCTGAATGTACTCACTCCTGAGCAGAGTTTGACAAGGAATTTTCCATCCAGGCAATCACACCGACTGTCCCCTCTATTGCCACACATCTGCCTGTCTGGGCTGTATGCACACACCCTATGCCTGATCCAGACTGTGGAACAGAATGATGAGGAGAGGACCACACTACTGCACCTTCGGAGAGCAAAGCAGTGCAAGACTTCCATAAAAATAACAACCAAAGCCAATGCAATTCATTCGTGCCTGGCTCTCTGGATGCTCTCCAGAGGGAACAGGTAATGGCCATGGCACTGGTGATGCTCCAGTTCAGTTCTGTCTCTAGGCTTCACTTCTAAACCTGGATGACAGAGAACTGGACACACACAGGTAAGAGCTCCACCGGAGCAGGTTTTACACTCTGTGAAGGTACCAGAGATCTCCCAGGTGTACAATACTACACAGAAGTACTTCACACCCCACAGCTGAGCTTTGTTCCTCGTTCTCACCCGAAAGCATTCAGTGAGCACTCGGATGGGGCAGTGAGCACAGTCCCTCCCTGGAGCTCGGGGCAGTGACCTCCCCTCTCTGCCAGGGTAAAACGAGCATCACACCAGGAAACCGTCCCGGTGGAAACACGGAGAGAAAAGCAAATTGGACCAAACCCGAGAGAAAAATCGTAAAACTGCCTTGTTTGAGAGCTCCAAGGGACGAGTGCGGCCAGGGAGTCTCCGAGCACCTGCGAGCGGCGCGGGACGGGGCAGGGGATGGGGCAGGGGAT